GTAAATATTAGTTGAAATAAGTAAATATTTATTTGTGTGTTATTTAAAATAATTAAATAAAAAATATCTATTCTGAATTATTAAATTAACTATTCATGTTTAGAAATATTATTCAAATTTAAATTAATAAGTTGATTAAAAATTTAAAAATCTAAAAATATACAAATATTTAAAAATAAAATTAATAAAATGTAACTTCAAAATATAGTTAATCAAATAGAAATTTTTTGATTAATATATAATTGAATTACTATTAAATTAATTGATTATTATTTAATTTGAATTACTTAAATACTTTAAAAGTTAATTGGCTATTTAATTTGAATTAATTAAATTACTATTAAATTAACTGATTATTACTTAATTTGAAATTAGTAAATATTTATTTATGCTATTAGACATAAGTAAATAAGTGAATAAAGTAATATCTATTTTGAATTATTAATTAAGTATTTATCATTAGGAATATTAAAATAAAAAAAATGACTACTCTAGTGGTGAAGTAACTGCTAAGAGTTCTGGGTTTGATTCCTTCCGGAAACAAATTTTTTTATTTATTTTATTTATTCTTTTTTATAATTTTAAATCTGAATTATAGTGCTCCAATGAAATCATTGCATTTATTCAATATATGAGACACATATTTAAACTGTTATAATACTATAACAGCTCGATAACAAAACCTATATTCTCAACTACTTTAACAAAACCGAGCTTTTAGCGGCTTCATAAAACCTTGGTTGCATAGCTATAATTTCCCCTCTTTCCTCCTCTTCCTCCCCCTCTTCCTCCTCCTCTTCCACGATTCATCTTATAATCATTATTACAATGCTGATATCCATGGTTCTTCTCTCTCCTTCCGTTATATCCTCCCCCATTTATGTTCCAGTCATTTCTTGCTTGATACTTATTTTGCTCCTGTGGAATCCACCTTTGAGAATTATTCTGTTCCCAAGAGTTGGTGTCATTATTTTCAGGGTTGCTTGATCCCCATCGCTCGGCAGCAAAATTTGGTTCCTGAGGCTTTGTTTCTTCTTCGTCTTCATCCCCCCATCCAGTAGGTATGATTTCCCATACATGATCGAGAGGATTGTCGACGATCTCACTCTCTTGCTCGCTCTTTTCCATCATAATGCGTGTGGCCTCTAGTTCTCTATCCAAATTCAGATAGAGTTCTGGATCGAAACTTGCATCCCAATCTACTTCGTCGATGTACATGTCTGGATCAGGCAACGGAATGTCGCAGGGATAGCCGTTAATCTCAGCCCAAAACCGGTTCTTTGCATCGTGAAAAGCATGTTTGACAGCAGAGTCATCCCACTTCATCACATCGGAATGCGATTCCATGTACCTCTTGCCTTCTAAAAACCTTCGCCATGGAACTTGACCTACCGTAGCACAAAACTTCTTTTCCCATGAAGGAACTGTTGAAAACCTATTACCTGTGAACCAAAAAAAATTAAACAGAATAAAAAGGAAAGAACAAAACCAAAAGAAAGAAAGAAAGAGAAAATAAAAAGACACTTTACTCAAAGGTGGTTTTCCGTAATAAGATGAGGATCTCCGGTGACCAACTTGACGATCACTGATCCCTTGGTTTTTTCTCCAACTAGCCATTTCAATAAGCAACAGAGAACAGGATGATGAGATGAGTTTGATACAAAGACACAACAAGTTCTCTGACGTTTATTTATACTTGTACAACCCTAGTATTTATAGGAACATGTTCTTACTTTTGCCTTTTTTTTTTTGCTACTAAATAGGAAACTGTTTTTTTTATCTTTTTGACAAATAGGAAGCTGTTTTTTAAATTAATAAGATTTCCTAAAATCTATTCTTATATTTGTAAAGTACTGAATGAATTTATGAGATTTTAAAACAAATGCATCTATATGAAATATCTTTATGTTTATTCTATATCAATCAATTAATCCCATCGCTACACATACTTTCTTTATAATTTTTAGATATTTTTAAGATTTAACCTATCAGTAATTAATTCATGGCCATTTGTAAGATCATATTGTAAAATTTTGGTATCAAATTTATCAATTATTTATAAGTATATAATTTTATGATATTTAATATTTATTAAATAATATTCATAATGTTTGGTTATTTTCAAAGTATTTTAAAGCTGCTTATGATTGAAGTGTTAACGTGCAATGCGATCTATTTCAATTAAAAATTACACTCATTACGGTTAAAACTTGACAAATTTTATGATGTAATTGTCAATTTGAAAATAAAAAATTGACTATTTTGATGGATGGTTTTTTTTGTGAGACTTATTTCTCATCTTACCGGATCAGAAAGAGGAGAGGGACTCTATTGTTGTCTTTCTTTCCTCGATGGAGAGGATTTTGGATGACGGGATTCTTCCAAAGCCTCAATCCTTGCGCTCTGGTTGAGGATGAGGAGGTTGGTCTTGTTGAGAACCTTGAGGAGGGCCGCCATGGCTGGGTCGGCGTTGGGCGGAACAGGTGCTGCTGGTCGAGCGAGACTTCGTCGCGATCTTCATGAACAGGGGATGGAGAAGCTGTGACTTCGTCTCTTCGTCGGAGAACGTCGGCGGCATGAGAGATAAGGGCCCCTTCAGCGTTGGTCTTGCTGACGGGGAGGAAAGCAGAGTTGTGAGCATCAAGATTGTTGTCACGGGAAGCCATGATCAGAAAGTTGAAGAATTGTTTTGGTATTGTGTCTACGAAAGAAGAAAAGACGGGGATGACAAGGTTCCCACAGACGGAACCACTGATCTTACTGAACGATCATGATTTGAGATGGGCCGAAGACAAACGTCGGTGATGCTGGGTAAAAAAGAGGAGGAAGGGGTGTACCTGTAAGGCACTCCGATGCTAAAGTAAGAAAACGAGGCAGAGAGCGAGTAAGTACAGAATATGTGTTTCTAAGTAAGAAATTGGATACCTGACCCTCTCAAGTGAGAGAGTTTTTATAATGCCCCCAGCGGTTGGCCATTGGTCCCTATTTTCGGGGCGAGATAATTGTTTCCCAAAGAATAGGTAACTGCCAGAAATAGTCGTTGGGACAGGCAGACGTGCCCATAACTAGCCGTTACGACGGGCAGATATGCAGTCACGGGCACAAGCGTTTTTCCTGTTTCTGGATGGTGGAACCGTGCGTGACGAGTAGAGACTGATGGGGAGATGTGTTGTGACCAAGGGTAAATGGGCCAGCCTCCCTTGTTGGAAGGGCAGAAAGGTAAACTCTCCACCAAAGAGGTTGGACTTAGGCGATTGGGCAGTTCTGGGAGCAGAGGTGGAGTGGGCCATGCCTGGCCATCGGACGAGTCGGAAACAATATTTATTACAATAATATGGCGCATGCATTGTCTATGAACATGCGCTACAGGAAGTAATTTTTTTTATAAGCAGATTCATTCATTAATAAAAAAATGTGGGAATCAATAAGCATTCCAAACAACACCATTACACTATCGGAGCACTAATGAACAATGAGTGTAATAATGAGTGCAATCCAACTGCAATTACAACAACCATCATAAGAAGTCAATAGGGTGTTTAGACCAATCATAAAATTAACATACAAAGTTCTTCAGTGATCCTATAATTAGCCATAACCAATACATCTTCATGATTTTATGAACTAGATCGAAATCGCAGGCCACTCCGTCATTAAAGATGATTTATTTTCTAGCCCATAAAAAGTTCCACCAAGCAGCGAATCATATTAAGGTTGCAGTTTGTTTAGACGTATGACAAACCAAACAAATAAACCACTCCATCAAATTATTTTTACATGTGATTCAATCCACGAGACTCCAATCCTCCGAGATTGCTTTCCAAACTACCGTTATCCTTGGATAAGTTATCATAATGTGATCAACCATTTCAATCTCACCAAGACAAAAAACACATACTATATCATGGGGATCAGAAATGACCGCCCTGGCTGCTAGGTTGTAACTTGTTGGTAATCTATCCAATAATTGGCGCCAACCAATTTTTTTTACCTTCATTGGAATCATGGATTCCCACCGTAGTTCTAGAACGGTCTTGGAAATAATTTATGTCCCGATGTTCGAATATATCTGAAAAAGAGAATTATAACATGTTTTGACAGAAAACAAATTGTTGACCAAATTTGGCCAAAGGAATTCGCAATGAACAACCAGCAAGGGAATCTGTTATGCAATATCAGTTCACCATGCTGCGCTATCAGCTCCTCCGTCCAGTCATGTACCTGAAATCCCAGATTCCACTACCAGGCCTCGTGTGACCAGCCACCATGATCTTGTACGAAATCGAACTTTAGATTCGAAAGAAGATATAGTTCTGGTAAACTGATACAGAGGGGACTAACGTCAATTCACCTAGCATGCTAAAAGGAAACGAGGGAGCCATCTCCCACTTTACATGATACCTGGCTTAAGAATGAATCAATTTTAAGTGACAAACCAATCTTCAAGAAATCACTCCACCACAATGATTTACTCCAAGCCGAACCAACTTCCTGAAACAAACAAAAAATTCTTTTGCAGCTGCCATATTTGTTAAATAGAAAGGGTTTCCATATTGACTCATCGTCACTTAAAATTATCCACACCCATTTCATCAATAGCGCCCTATTGAAGAGTGCAATGTCTTTTATTCCTAATCCTTTTGACTCCTTTGATTTGCATATATCTTTCAAACTCACCCAAGCCATCAACGAAGCCTCAAGTGAACCTGACCACAAGAATCGTCGTTGGATTGATTTGAGTTCCTTGATAACTTTAACAGGTTCTTGATAGAAAGACATATGATGAATTGGAAGGTTCGTATGGACATAATTTATTAACGTAACGCGACCACCCATTGATAACAACCTTCCGTGCCACGAGGATAGCCTTGCTTTAAAACAGTCAATTACCAGTTTCCAGAATTTATACCTCCTATGTTCCCTCCCACTTGTAAACTTAAAAGGTATGCTTCCTTTCCTACATAACATATATTGCCCTGCAGCATTTAGGAAAGCTTCATCTACACGTACTCCATAAATACAACTCTTCCAAAAATTGATCTGCAGCTTCGCTTCCTTCTTGTAGCTAAGTCTATTATCTCGTTGATTTCCAAAACACCATCTAATATCTGTCTACTCGGGATAAACGTTGTTTGACTTCGTGAAACTAACTCGCTAATGACCTTTCCCAACCTTGCAGCCAAAATCTTGGAGATAACCTTATAAATGCATCCAACAAGACTTATTGGACGATATTCCTCTAACCCTTGAGGATTGATATTCTTCGGTACCAAAGCGATGCAGGATGACAATAGAGCCTTTGGGAGAACCTTTGTACCATGAAACTCCTAAATGCAGTCAACCACATCAACATCTTTTTAAGAATTCCGAATTAAACCCATCAGGGCCTGGGCTTTTGGAGCCATCATAGTGACATATTGCTTCAAAAATTTCTTCTGCAGAAAACTCTTCATGGAGAATCTCACGATTCGCCAATGAAAGCTTAGGACAATCAAACAGTTGGAGCATCGGCATTGTACTTTCAAATTTCCTAAACCTAGAAGAAAAAGCATCCAATATAGTTTTCTTCACAGATGGCACGTCTTCTAAGATGCGCGAGCCAACCTTGGCAGATGAAATAAAATTACTCATTGATCTCGAATTCAAAACAACATGAAAATATTTATAATTAATATCTCCCTCCTTTAACCATTTAGCTCTAGACTTCTACCATAACATGCTTTCTTTTATCCTCAAATTGCTCCAAATATCTGATATAGCCTCGCTTCTTAACCGCAACATGCTTTCTATTCTCTAATCAAACCTTCTGATAATAACATTTCGTCCAACCTACTACTGTATTTGTCGTTGGAATTAAACCATGTGAACTTATTCCCAATTATCGGATGATCAATTAACTTCATAGCTTTAATAAATAATGAGGAATCATTCAGCTTTGTCAGATTCACCTTACCCTTCCCTCTTTTTTCTTCCTCCATGTTGACAATATTAAAATCGCTTCCCACAAGCCACTCACCCCTAGGAAACTTCCTCTTGATATTTGATCAACTCAGCCTACAACCTTCTCTTTTCTACAATTCTACAAGAGGAGTATACATTCATCAGATAATAATTAAAACATTTCTAAGAGCAATTGACCCCCAAGAAGCCATCTCCTTTGAAATTGAACTTCATCTGAATTGACTCTAAATTCCACATTGAAATAATTCCTCCCAATTGCATGTGCCATAGACACCGATTATTATGTACCAAAGTTATAGGCATGCACCAATGGATCTGACTACATCTCTTATTAGCAATTTTTTTTTATTTGAAACACGGTTAATTTAATATTTTTTTAAAATATAATTATTTTAGAATTTATTTTGAAAAACGTGATTATTTTAAAAAAAAGAAAATCCTGTTGTGAAGCAATGTTCTTCTAAGAGCATCTTTAGTGGGAGTAAACTAAATGGGTAAACTAATATACTTTTTGTGAGTCCAAAGTGATTTGTAGGATTTAAAAAATTTATAGTTGATTTGAGTAGTTTTTACTTTAATGGTGGTTGTCTATAAGAAACCAAAACTTGACCCCACATTTTATATTTTTTATTCAAGTTACCATTAATTTAATTATTTTAATTAAAATACATATAATTTTTTAAATAAATTTTACCTTAAAAACTTAAAAATAATATTAAATATATTTTATTATAAAATTAAAAATGATACAAAATTCACAACAATAATACATAAAAAAAATTACATTTTCATAGGAATATAATTATAATAAGGATTCGATTGGTTGAGATTCATTTGATAAATAAATAAGATTGAAAATTGAAAGAAAAAAATTTAGAAGTAAAACTGTGTAAAAAAAATTAAAATTTCTATAGAATTTATAGAAGGTAAAAAATGATAATATGACCGTTACTATTTTCAAATATCATATCCTTACTTTAATGTTGTTAGAATATTTGGAATATTTTATTAATATTAAATAATATTATAATAGGTTTCACATAGTTAACGTTAACTATATAGATAATGGGAACTAAATTTTAGTTCATTTGGATGTCATGTCAGCTCTCCTATAATGCAAATTCCTTATTACTAACGTAAGTTATAAAGAATTTTGGTTTAACAACCCTGCGTTAAAGTTGCTCTAACTTAAGAAATAATGAATAAAAATAAAACCAAAATATTTATACTCTTATCTTCTTCTTTTTATTAAAAAAAATTATTTGCTTATAAATTAATTTTATATTAATAATTTTAAAATTAACTATATTTTTAGAAAGTTAATTTCACGTGAAAATTTTATAATAATTTTTAACAGTAGTTATTATTATAAAACTTAACTTAATTAGATTTATTTATTTATTTTGTTTCACATTAATATTCGTTTAATTAATTAAACTTATTATTTTTTTGAAGAAAATCAAGTGTGAGTTAGAAGTGTTGAGAAATAAGTGTGAGAAAGTTTCACATTGATTAGAAAAGTGTAAACTGAATACTTTATAAGTGAGAGAACTCACACACCTTTCACCTTAAGGTTTTGGGTAAGTATGTGACATGTCTCTCACAAGGTATGTTACTCATAAAAAAGAAAGGCCTCAATGAATGTAAATTGCTCCTTTGTGTTGAACAAAATCTTCATGTTCTTAACAAATAATTACGACAAGTGGTGCAAACAAATGAAGGTGTTCTTTGACTATCAAAGTGTTCTTGAAGTGATAAATAACGGGGTAACTACACTTGTAGAAGGTGCAACGTATGTGTAATGGTCTAAGTATAAAGAGGAAAAGATGAAAGGTTATAAGAAGATGTTTGATCCATCAATGTGTTGATGCGGATAATTTCAATAAAGTTTGTGATTGCGAATCATCGAAGCAAACATGGTGATGGTGTATGGTTGGGCTGATAAGGTGAAGGGTTGTGAGGTTACAAACTCACAGAAGGCAATTTGAGTTGATTCAAATGGAGGAAATGAAGTTGAAAGGTTGGTGAACCAAGTAAAAGCGCATTGAGAAACAATCACAAAGCAGTGCGTTGTTGCAAAGATCTTGTGTTATTTGACGCCAAGATTTGGCAATGTGGTAGTTGCGAGTTAAGGGGGAGTAATGAGAAAAACTAGTGTGAGAAAGTCCTACATTGATTAGAAAAGTGGAGATTGAGCATTTTATAAATGAGATAACACACACACCTATCACCTTAAGATTTTTCTTGAGTATGTGTTGTGTCTTTCACAAGATGTGTTACTGATAAAAAAAATATCAATGAATGTAAATGCTTTCTCATGGTAACCCCCAAGATTTGATGACCCAACAATGATATTAGAAGCTGGTGGTTCGAGTGAGAGACTAACTTCCTTGTATCGAAAGTCCTCCCCAATGTTGGTGGATAGAAGGCATGTCCTGTTGAAAAAGTGTCAGCGGCGGTACAAATGTATGTGGATGAAAGGTAAAAATGTATGTGGATGAAAGAGCTTCCGCTTGAGGTGGAGAATTGTTGATAGACTCACACTTGAGGAGAAATATTGAGAAAAACAAGTGTGAGTTGGAAGTGTTGAAAAACAAAGAATTTTTCACCCAAATAACCAACATTCCCCCATTTAATTTCCAATATACCCAACTTTCCATCATATTATCCAATCTACCCTAGTTTTGTATTTTTTTTTTTACAAGGGGGCGCCATAGGGTATGCCTCCTCCCTTATAATTTATATGGGAGCACCATCCAGGATGGAGGCACCCTATAAATTATAAAGGGGGCGCCATCCCCTTTGCCTCCTCCCTTAAACTTGATTTTTTTTTATAATTTTAAATGTATAATTAGTTTTAAAATATTTAATAAATAATATTTAATAAATATTTTATATTTAAAAAATAATAATTATATAATAATAATTTCTGAATAATTTTTATTTATTTTATAAATAATAAATAAGTAATAATTTATAATAGCATTACAAAATTTCAAATAATAAAAAAAAATCAAATTGTATTTAATAAATTTAATATTAAATAATAATTACAATAATTATTGAATCACAAATATGAAAGATATTGTAAACTAGTTTCTACGTCGTGGTCGGTTTAAATGTCCGCCCGTACCGCATCCCCGATCACGTACGTTTCTTTGTGGTCTTTGTTGTGGACCGCTGTACTGCAATCAGGGCAAATATTCAGCGAATCAAGCATGAAGTATATGAGGGATGAAACTTCTAAGGCGGCCTCACATCGAGTTAGACCATTTGATCGTCACAATTACAGCTTCACTGTTGATGAGACAATGGATCACAACGAGGGTCGGCCAATGGGACACTACAGGGTGGAACTTCATAAAAATTGGTGCGACTGCGGAAAGTTTCAAACCTTCCGCATGCCTTGTTCACATGTCATTGCCGCATGTTCAACTGCTCGTCAGGATCCATTCTTGCAGCTATCAGAAGTTTACAAGGTCCTGAACTTATTCGGTATCTACAGTAGCAGTTTTCCAGTGGTAGTTAGTGAGGACTACTGGCCAACCTATCATGGAGACACAATCTACCACAATGAAAATATGAGAAGAAACAAAAAGGGCCGCCCCAAAAGCACCCGAATTACAACTAAAATGGATACAGCTGAGAAAATGGAAAGATTGTGCGGAATAGGTCGTCTTCCCGGGCATACGAGGAATAACTGTCCAAATGTTGGAACAAGTTCTAGGTAGATTTAATTTGGTCTTTAAAATTTGTGTAATCGTGCAATTTAATATTTATATCAACTTTTCATTTCCACAAAAACGAATTGAATTACTTCTACAGCATAAAACGCAAATCATTAAAATACAACGATTATTACAACATAACCTAAGATATAACAATATAACAACAATCAAAGTAATATCATCAGTACCGAACATCATAGACCTAACTTCGTTGTCATCTCTAATTCGCACCCAGTCCCGCCGTATGTTTCCGTCTTCAACAGAGAAGTACGAGACAAGTCTTTCAATACTCCTAATTCTTTCACCATTTGGAATGTCTCCTTCTAGCCACCGATTCAAATTTCTTCGTAGTTGTTCTAAACTCTGGATGTTCCAAAACAACATCCTTATCGGAGGCTTCGTCGGTGAAAAAATTACATGCCCATATCTTCTAAGGAACATGACTCACTCTTCTAAATTTGGATGAAACAATGTTAACAACATGTCTACCTATTTATAAAAAAAATTTGGAATACCATAATATAATATTTTAATTATATTAATTATAATATATTTTAAAAATTATTTTCGTATAAAGGGAGCTCCATAGGGGATGGCGCCCCCCTTTAAGTCATTTAAGGGAGGAGCCAAAGGGGATGGCGCCCCCTTTATAATTTATAGGGTGTCTCCATCCTGGATGGCGCCCCCATATAAATTATAAGGGAAGAGTCATACCCCATGGCGCCCCCTTGTAAAAAAAAAAAAATACAAAACTAGGGTAGATTGGATAATATGATGAAAAGTTGGGTATATTGGAAATTAAATGGGGGAATGTTGATTATTTGGGTGAAAAATTCAAAAACAAATGTGGAAAAGTCTCATATTAATTTTTAAAAAAATAAAAGTTGAACATTTTATAAGTGAGAGAACTCATTCACAAAGTGTGCTCATAAAAAAAAATTCTAATAAATATAAAAATGTTCAATCATGTTAAATCCCTGAATTGATGACATAACAAATTTGCATTAAATTAAATTGTAATATAAATAAAATATTAACATACGATATAAAATTGTGGAATCCAATATATATTTGTTTAGAGTTGTACTATTAAAATTAAAATTGGAAGAATTAATTTGAGATGATGCAACACATATCCTAAAAAAAACCAAAAATAAATTGCACAATTGAAGCTACCCTAAACTACTTTAACAAAACTGAGCCTTTTAACTACTTCATAAGGAATTTACCATGAACTGGGAGCAGCTACCTCCCCCTCTTTCCACTCTTCCTCTTGCTGCACCTCCCGTTCTTCCTCTTCCTCTTCCTCCACCTCCCCTTCTTCCTCTTCCTCTTCCTCCATTTCCTCTTCCTCGATTCATATCATATTGATTATTACCATTCTGATATGTAGGGTTCATAGACCATGATATGCCGTTATCTCTCCTTCTGTTATTTCCTTCCCATGTTCCCCAATTTCCGTTCGCATTATTTCTTGCTTGATACTTGTCATGTAAGTCACCAGCATGGTATTCCTCTGAAATCCACCTTTGAGAATCATTCTGTTGGGATAGTTCAGAATCAACATTTGTATTCCAATCTACATCATCAATGTACATGTCACTGGGATCGGGCAATGGAATGTTGCAGGAAAAGCCGTTGTTCTCAGCCCAAAACCTGAATTTTTCATCTTCAAATGCCTCTTTGACAGCATAGTCTTCCCAGTTCATCACATTGGAATGCATATACATATACCTCTTATCTATGAACCAAAAGAAGTAAAAAGAATCAAAAGAAAGAACAAAACTAAACGAAACAAAGGGAAAACAAAAAGACACTTTACCCAAAGGTGGTTTGCCGTTATAAGATGAGGATCTCCAATCTCCCACTTGATGATTACTGATCCTTTGGTTTTTTCTCCAATTTTCCATTTCAACAAAAAGTAGAGAACACGATGATGAGGTGAGTTTTACACAAAGAAAGAAGAAGTTCTCTTGAGGTTTCTTGTTGCTTCCACAAGATATATCCTTCGATATGTACTTAGCCAGTATTTATAGGGATGTTATTTTTTCAAATATCTTTATGTTGTTTCTATATCAATCAATTAGTCATAATGTATTTTTTTTTCTTTAAGTTATTTCTACTTTTTTTTTTCAAATTATTTTCTTTCTTAAAAAACATAATAATAAAATATTAGTCATAATGTATTTTTTTTCTTTAAGTTATTTCTACTTTTTATTTATTTATTTATGTTATTTATTTATTTTCATTATTTTTTTTGGAAAATATTTTCATCTATATATATTATAAAAATAATGTTGTATCCTTTTAAAATATATATAATAATATACTAGAAATAATATATTGTTTTATTCATATTTTATTTTATTTTCCTTTTTATATATACATTTTTTAAAATTATTTTCATTTCTATCTCTTTTTCACTTTTAGAATTATTTTTTATGGAAACAAGATCTTCATCATTTAACAAATAAGATTTCAAATATGAATTTATTTTTAGATTAATTTTAATCTTATTTAAATATTCATTGCATGGGAGAATTTAATGCTTATTATTTTTATTAAGATTTTTAATTAAGTAAGGTATTATACTTTCATTTATTAGTCCTACTTTTTGTTTTCACGATTTACTTAAAAAAAATATCCATAATCTTTCTCATACTTTAATAGTTCCTCCTTCTAATTGGAATTAGAAATACTAGCAATTCAGTAATAAAATCTGATCGTACCTGATCAGAAGAGATCGCGGACTTGCTACGCATCTGAGCTGTCAGACTGTTGATTTGATGGACGGAGGATGTACCTGAAACACACTCTGATGTCAAAGTAAGGATCGAGCAGAGTGATAACAAGTACAGAGAGAAAGGAGTCAGAATTAGATTACCTGACCCTCTAGTGGAATATGGTATTTATAATGAGCCCCCAGTGCAGGGCCAACGGTTACTATGCGTTGGGCTGGGATGTCAGGCCCAACGCTAGTAACTGCTAGGGCTGACGTGGCGTCGTGAAGACCAGCACGTGGTCTTCGCCCTAGTGTAACTGTTTCGTGATATCCGAGAGGTGGATGACCAAATAATCAGGACACAGATAGTTACCTGATGACGTGTCTCCGCGTAGGGGACACATTGAGAACGTGGGGGAGGTCAGAGGAGCTTCCCGAGCTGGATGGGTTCTGCCCGACCGTGGGGCAGAAGAGAGGCGAGTCGAGCAGATATGGGGATCCTGCTCGACTGCCGTTGGTCCGTGCCCGACGGGAGAAGATGTTATGTCCTACGGGCTAGGAACTTGAGTGCCTAGCGGTGCTTCGTTTTCCGTGCTAAGGCGTATATATACGTGGGCCCAGCCCGTCTTTTCGTTCTCTCGTTCTTCTTGTTGCTGTTCGACCTTCTGAATTCCCTATTCGACGCTTACAACCTTTCTGCTCTACGTAACCACTTTTCTCCGTCGTATCACATAAGTCTTTGCCTCCATACTGGTATTTTTTAGTAAGCTTCCGGCGGTGCTCCCGGGGGTTCCGACGGGGACGCCGGGGATACCGTGGGCTTTTCTGGCGAATACATCAGGGAGTCCTTCAAAACTAAGGTTCTGATCGACGTCCCCGACCCTTGCGATGAATGTCCCAGGGAGAAACAATGATTGTTGAATGTCCCGAGGATGGTTTGATGAATACCCCAGACACGAATGATGAGTGCACCGAGGATAAAAGATTGTGTTCCCCGGGCACATCGGAGGGTCGGGTTATCCTAGAGTGGTCTTCTGGGCGCTCACGCCCTTTCACTTGAACTACGGTGGAAGGGTGGATTTGATTTGGCTGTCAAATTCACCAAGTTTCTCTGCTTTTCAGGTAAATGGTTGCCCATGAAGAAGAGAAAACGATGTGGTATCTGTCCGACGATGAAGAGGGTCGCCAAAATGAGGCCATTGTGGATCCTCTGGACAGGCCGGTCGGGGAGTGGGTCGGGGACAAACCCCTCAACTATATGTCTCGATTCATGCTCGATGATTCTGATGTTTTTTTCGTGATCGAAGATAGAGAGGTCGGGGCTCCTCGTTAATTTAGAGCATTTCGGCCTCAGGAACTGGACCGTATCTGCTCTCGCTACGACGGGGGCCGATTCCCTATGTACAAATTTGCATTTAAGGAGGCATAGATGCGTCTTCCATTCACAAATTTCCAGTAGGGAGTGTTCGACCACCTGATGTTGGCGCCGTCTCAACTCCACCCCAACTGCCTCGCTTTTCTCCGTGCATTCGAGATCGTTTGCAATTATCTCGAGCTCGGGGCCACCATATCGTTGTTCTTCTGTGACTTCCACTTGCAGCAGAAGACTGTGGCTGGTCGACATAACTGTGTCTCCCTGAAGCAGCCGACCAGGCTGTTCCGGGCATACACAGACTCTGTTAGGGGGTTCAAGGATAGGTGGTTTGTAACGCCCCGTTTTATTTAATATTATATTAATATTTTTGAGTTACCGTTTGACGTTTATTTTGCGACGAGAATATTTATACTAACCGATATATCTGTTAATATATTTGGCGACGTATTATTCGGACCGATAATTATTTTATTCGGTCCGATAATTATTTTGAGGGACCGGTAATTATTTTATTCGGTCCGGTATTTGTTTTGAGGGACCGGTAATTATTTTATTCGGTCCGGTATTTGTTTTGAGAGACCGGTAATTATTTTGTTCGGTCCGATTTTCATTCCGTTCGGTTCGGTAAAATATTATTCGGACTGATACTTAATTATTTGGAGTTATTTTAATTATTTAGGTTAATAATATTATTTAGTGTTATGAGTAGTATATTTTAAGAGGGACTAGTTGGTAATTTGAATTATGTCTTGCTACTAAACAAAACCAAATACACCTTGTTTTATGTCATAACTCACAAAACACACTTAGAGGCATTAGAGAGAGCTAGAGGGTCTTGGAGAAGAGAAGAAGAACAAGAACACAGAGCTTGGATTTTGGGTTGGTTGAATCATCAAGAATCATTTCAAGTATATAAGGTAAGGGGTTTGATTTTCCAATGCTTATAGTTAGAGTTTGATTTGGTATATTTTGATTTGGGATAAAATTGATTTTTAGGGTTTATGAGTTGTGTTGAGTGAATTTGATAGAGGTTAGAGGAATTGATTTAGGTGTTATTGTTGTTGTTAGATTGTTATTGAATTAATTAAGAAGAATTAAATTAGAAAAGAAAAACTAATTATATTAAACTTATAAATATATATATATATATATATATATATATATATATATATATATATATATATATATATATATATATATATATATATATATATATATATATATATATATATATATATATATATATATATATATATATATATATATATATATATATATATATATATAAATAAGTAAAACTTATGCAGAAACATAGTTTCTGCTAAGTTCTATTTCTATTATTTATTATATTAAATAATTATATTAATTAAATATAAATATGACACAAGTTAGCCAATTTAATTTAGAATCCGATTATGTTCTGATTTTTCGATTTCGGCAATTTCGGCGACGGAGCTAGTTACTCCGAATTGGACGAAAATTGACGTGCTAGTTAACTTTGACGTGTAGAACGTCGTGGTGAGGTTAGTTTTTAGAGATTACGAGTTTTTAACAGAGTGACCCGAAATAGGCCAATTTACGGTTAATTCTAAACGGGTTGCGTTTTAGTCGGTTTAAGTCGCGTATGGACAATCCGATTGCGACATTGATAATTATGATTAATGCCGATTCTTATGAATGACTTTTGCGACGATTATTGATGTTTGATTACTTTTCCATGTTTGGAATGAAGTGAATTATTTGGTAATGATGTGGTGTGATTAAACATGATGTTTGCGACGGTTTATTTATAATGAATACTTGATGATATGCGATGCGATGATATGTTATCTTGGTGTGGATAAGTATGGCGACGTGGGCTTTATGCCAATCTTGATGCGCGATGATGATGTTTTTGTTGTGTCGTGTTTGTGATGTCGTGTTGTCAAGTCACATACATTGCATTGGCGACGAGGGCTTTTATGCCAAAGCGACGATGGGCTTTATGCCAAATTTCCCTAATTATGGACAAAGCGACGGGTACCACATGCATAACATAGTCGTGTCTCATGGAGTCGGTTATGTTTATTTTTGAGTCTTTTGGCATTGAGTTTTATTTGATGACTTATGATGAATTGTGATGTTGTATGATACTTTGTTTTGTGATCATTTTTATGTTAAACATAAAGTGATTATGATGTGATAAATTCATGAGGATTATGCGATGAATATAACATGACGGTAAAGCGACGATATGAATTTATGGCGATGGAGTTTATATCTTGTTTTGATATGATTATGGCGAGTATGTGACGAAATTAAAGTGTTGATTCTATACACTAAATGATGATTTAAAGTGTGTGAGATTTGGATATGTGTTAATATATTCTTATTAATCCTATATCATTTATGATTCCAAACTATTCATATATTTCATCATGCCTTTAATTATATGTTTTGGAGTATCTCACCCTTTACTTGTCTCGCCGTTGCCTTTATATTGGTAACGTGCAGGTGATCCGCGAGGATGATGTGGATTAGCTCGAGTCTCTTTATTTTGAGTCGCTCTGCTCTGATAGTAGTAACACTCGGGATTTGGGCGACGTTATTATTTTGGATATGATAGTTTATGTATACTATTTTATGACTTTATGAATTTATGTATTGATGATAACTTGTTGATGCGTATATTTTGTGAATACATCCGTTGTGCTGTGAATATTCATATGGTTATATGATGTTAATGATATGAATCGGTATATCCGACTTTTTATTTTTGTGATGTGCATTATAATGCAAAGTGATGAAAATGAATATGTGATACCTCAATTTAT